CACCGAGAACGAGGGACCATCATCCGTCTGCACCGGTAAAGTGTCAGCAGAGCTTCATGCGATTCGAGAGCTGTGACCGCTTCGATTGCTGCGAGGATACCTTCTTCAGCAAGTGCGAGTATTCCACCGAGGAGTCGATGGAGACGGGTCACGGCCAAGGTCACGACGCTGACTTTGAGACGAGGTCTTATCATCGGCGCCGTCCGCGGGTGAATCATCAGCTACATCGCAAGTGTTAGTTTGAATTCTGTCGCCATGATCTCCGCAGTGTCAGTGCAAAAGCGAAGGCGATTTGTGAGGTTGGCAAGCAATCCAGAAGCTATGCAGAGTCCTCCGTAAAGATTTAAGTAAATGAGTACCCCTGGTAATACACGGAGATAATTTGTCCAGATATGGAATGCTTAGTTCTAGCTTTCGTTAATCTATTCCTGGACTCGCACTTGTGTCACAGCGAGTGTCATATTGGTGTTTTGACAAGTAAACATTGGCTTATCCGAACCGAGGTTGTTCAAGATAGCTACTGTGTACCATCCACAAATTGATATTGTCATCATGCAAAATAAATATGTATCATCGCTTTGACAGCCTGACGGTGATACTCATTTCTCAATGTCAATTGGCTTCGCGCACACAATCACCCGCAACTCCGTGCAGCCTCGGTTATCGATAACGGCCGTCATCATCGTCATCCCCGCACGGATTACTGATCCTCGATGTGCGTTGGGGTAGAATTTCCATAGCTTAAATTACAAATTCTCTCTACTCATCGCTGTCAATTATACGTACTGAACTGCCAAAGACCTAATAGCCATTGTTATCACCGTCACAATGTCGAAAGCAATCTTCATGTCCCAAGTCGATGGCAAACCCGGCCAAGTCTACTACCCCCTCTCCGTCCAGACATTGCCTTTGCCGACACCCCAGGGGCGCGAGCTCCTGCTAAAAATGACTGCGGCCTCACTCAATCATCGTGATGTTTTCCTGCGGCAGCATTTATATCCCGGCGCCACTTTCGATGTTCCCCTCGGCGCTGACGGGGTGGGAGTGGTTGTCGGCACCGGCCCCGATGTGACAAATCCCGAACGGTGGCAGGGCAAGCGAGTGATTCTGAACCCTGGGACGGGTTGGAACGATTCTCCCGACGGACCGGAAGATCCCAAGGGCTATCGTATCATGGGTGGAACAAAGGTTTACAACAAGGGTACTCTGCAGGAATACCTCACCATTGAAGAGTCCGAGGTGGAAGAAGCTCCGGAGCATCTGTCGGATGCGGAAGCCGCTGCGTTGCCATTGACTGGATTGACGGGATGGCGAGCCTTGGTGGTCAAGGCGGGCGAAAGGAACTCTGGCAAAGGCGCGGCGGTCTTGATCACAGGGATTGGCGGCGGTGTTGCACTGATTGCTCTCCGTTTCGCAGTAGCAAGGGGTGCGGATGTCTATGTGACGAGTTCGAGCGAGGAGAAGATTCAAAAAGCCGTGGCATTGGGCGCGAGAGGTGGTGTGAGCTACAAGGAGGATGGATGGGAGAAGAAGCTTTTGGGTATGCTTCCCAGCGGCAAGCGGAACTTTGACGCCATCATCGATGGTGCAGGTGGTGACTCTGTCGAGAAGGCAACCAAGTTGCTCAAGGTATGATTGTTCAACTGAGTGCCCACCCTGAAGCCGGACTGACCAAGACAGGCTGGTGGTGTCCTCTCCGTTTATGGAATGACGGTGTCTCCAAAGATGCCTTTCCTGATGCAAGCTGTTTTGAAGAACATTGACGTCCGTGGGTCTACCATGGGCTCTCGTAAGGAGTTCAAAGAGATGGTTGATTTCGTGAAGGCGAACAAGATCCATCCAGTGGTTTCTCGCGTTGTGCAGACCGACTTGGGCGATACCGAGGGCCTTGACAGCTTATTCCAGGACATGAAAGAAGGAAAGCAATTCGGGAAGCTGGTAATCGAGTTCGGAAAGTCCTCAGGAAGCAAGCTATAATCTGGCTTCAGAAGTCTCTGACACGACTTCTCTAACTAGGTTAGAGCACGTCACTAAAAACATAGACGCGATATAGTACATAGCTCACGAATGATGATATTTAATAGTGCTTTCCATGCAGCAGGTGGCTGGTGGCTCTTTCCTTGATGACTCCGTCACAATCGCTGCACTATAGCTAGCAGGACACATCATACAGGCCTCAGAGTTCAGCAACGCACAAGCTCAGCGTACATGAGCGACGGACAATCATTCCTTTAGCAACAAATTATCTTGAACACAGTCTATTCATTCAATCCTTAGCATCTATCATAGTAAGAAGCCACTGAGCGCCGACCGAGTCACCATGAGTCTCAGACTCCGACCATACGAACCCAGCATGTCCCCCGATTTATCCATCTCCCAATCAACCTTGGACTCCGAGTCCCCTCTCTCATCAGTCGAGGTGAGCCGAGCCCTATGGATCCGGAATCACGAACTGACAATCTTCTTCGCAGAGATACTCCACAGCGCTGGACGCCCTGAACGCCAGCAACCATAACCTCGAATACAAGATCGCCAAGGTCCAAGCACGAAATCTGCGCCTCAAGCTCGACCTGATGAGACTCCAACGGCACATCACATCCTTCCATCACGATCTCCTGGCCACTTGGGAAGCCGACATCCTGACGAGCCTTATCGAGGTCGTTTACCAACGACAAAATCGGAAACTACACCGGGGGCACGACGTAGACCTAAGAAGGCTCGACCGGAAGGCTCTATCGACGATGTATACCACGGCAGCGGGGAGAATCGGCAGGAGGGCACTTAGGAGTCTGTTCGGTCTATCACAGCATTATTGGTTAGCATTGCAGAAGTACGAGGAGGTGCGTGGACTCAGTATCGGATGTCTGTTGCTCTATCTGACTGAGTAGATTGCGCATCTGCGAAGTACGAGTCCTTCTCGTACAGAGGGTACGTTTGCTCGATGGTTGATTTCGGAAAGAGAGAAGAATCCTAAACGGGCGGGTTTCTGGGCCAGATTGTTTCCTGTCTGTTATGGTAGGACTGTGGAAGAGAGCTCGAGGATGGTGTGAGGGTGGTTCTGGGGGTGAATAGGAGGATAGAGGGTGTAGCTGATGTGGATGAGTCTTTCCTTTTGACGCGGTAGATAGAGAGTATTGCTATGTCTATTTACAGGCTCTATTGGGTTGCTTTGATTCTCAGCGTGATGTCTACGATGACTCGCCGTTAGGAGTCGAACCAGATTATGGTGAGCGTGGCAGGGTGGAGTCAAGCTCTTCTAAAGGACTGTCCAAAGCCCAGGCAGTAGGATAATCTGCAAAACTACGACTTGTAGACGGTTGTGAGTAGTTGTAGTAGTATATTCTCAACAATTCGAAATAGTTTTACTATCATCCATTCCAGAGCCCGAAGACCAGCTTGCTGAAATCATACAACTGCCAGGCAGCACATGCTGAAAAACCTGGGAAGATTCTCGCTGGAAACACCCCCTGGGACCCCATCTTCTACGCACTCAAGCCGTGAGCGACAGGGAATTGACGGACAGCCTGCTATTCTGGGCAGGCAAATGTGAAACTAGTGCATGGCGGTTGGACCTTGCAAACTCCATCCATTCGCCGATTGCCAAATCACCATTCATGCTCCCCGAATGTTGAGGAAGATGGTCCGTGGCTATTGAGTGTGGTGTGAATGAGCCTGATCCCTGATATGTTATTCTGACGCTATTCTGTCTCAAGTGTCTCTTGCTAGTTGGTCGCTGGATAATCGGTGTCGCCGTTCAGGTACCGTTGTGGGCTTGTAGTTCGGGTAAAACCTGGTGGATAGAGTACGTCACTGTAGGTATCTCTGTCTCATTGTCCGCAGTGCAGTCAGCACTATAAGTGAGGTACTTGAAATACACCACAGGAGATGTCCGGCAGATGGCTCCATATTGCCGAGGTGGCTGGCTGTATATCTGGCCGAAAATAAACTGAACAAATCGACAGAGATGGTGTTGACGCTGAATAAACCCAATCGACCAATGAAGACATGTAGACGAGCCATGGATGCAAATTGTAGACAAATGGCTACCATAAACCGGACGTGGTTGAGACTGGCGTGGTACGCGGGCTTTATTTAGTATACACGACTCAGACATTGTGTCGTTAGCGGCAGGGTGATACTATTCGTAGACATGGACACTGGACACCTAAGATGCGGTAAGCTTCGAATCAGCTACACATGACAGTGCAGCGACATAGTTGGCAGTAGATAGAGCAGGACCTATCTTATTTCGATTCTGCTGCTCTGATGAAGTGTGATTAGAAATACCACATTGTGGTGGTTACTGTGCTCGAACATGCATTTCTCATCTGGCGGACGTGGTGGGCACTGCCTGTCTGCCTGGGCAGCCCGACGAAGCATCTGAGCACAATAATCGTCACTCGTTCTCAACAATCAACATGCAGCAAAGATACAGAGCAGGATTGCATCTGCAGATTCTTATCCAAGTGAAGTCCCCAAACTCTGACTGATCGGGCCATCGGGCCACTTCAAAGTCCGTTAACCGGATCGTGACGATAAATATGAAGTCATGCAGGTGAAGTAAGGCCTTGTCTTCTCAGCCATCCCACCGGAGTTATTATCGGACAGCTTTCCGTGGGTGAGATCGACGGTCGGCTTTGCTTTGGATGGGTGGCTATGCCTCATTGCTAGGAGTCAGTAAGCGGGAAAGGTGAAACATTTTCTGTTTTCGATTAGGGTTTGGCGAAGATCAGACACCAGGTGCCGTGGAAACATTTGGGACGGCGTTCCTGATTTTGTGATGAGATGGAAGGAATCAAGTCAAAAGTTTGGAAAATAGATAGCCTGATAGCATCATCAGATGTATGCCAACGTCAGCGTCAACTCAACGCAACGCAACGAGTTGTTGGATCGTTAGATTAACCAACCTTAGGAGTTAGGCAAGCCAGGAGTAACCACACTATCGAGTTCTTGTTCCATTTCCCCTGGCTATCTGCCCTCTAGATAATTTCCAAGCTTCGACTATCATCAACCTGCCATGCTCCTGCATTAGTCCAGATACTCCAGACTTGCACCTGCACCAGCACTTGTTTGCAGTCTTCTGGTAAGTCCTTGGTTTCTAACCCGTGCTTGGCACTTAACGGGGTCCTGAGCGCAACTATACTCCGTCGTAATGCACGAATAGTTCGGAACTTTACAGTAGTCTAGGCAAGCCGTTGTTATATCTCTAATTAGTGACTCGGCACAGAAGACTACACCCGCATTGTATATTATGAGACCGCAGGTAAGGGTTCAGTTCCTACTGGCCTCATTTCGGATCGTGGTGATTAGGTGCCGAAGCAAGGATCCAGGGTACGCTGGCGGGGCATGCGTGCTGGAGATTTGCCTGAAGCCTGAAGGACACCTGCGTCTCCGACGGGGATGCAAAACTGTATTCCAATCCTTCCTTGCGAATTGCGCCTCCTGCAATCCCCTTTCATCTATTCAGAACCGGCTAAATATGAATCTTCGAAGTTTGGTAGGGGACAATTCTGCCATGGAAGAATCCCACACACGGGTGATAGGTGGTCTTGGCGGAGTGATTCTACTGAAACAGTTTGTAACGTTTTCACATTATTGGTTAGGGCACTCTGCGCTATTAACGGGTTGATAGCATTTAAGAGTTAGTCTACTGGTTTAACTTCTTATTGTTGATCAGCAAGTAAGCTCGTCCTTTAGTCCCACGGTTGAGCTTGATGGGGGTGGTCTCATGGTTAGTCTGGTACCGATCTCTACTATTCGGCCGGCGCATGTTCCTTCACTTGTGTAGACTAGTCTAGTCGTACATKGCGTTGCGAGGCATAAGCTGGAGGATTTCCATTTTTGAGAGCTGCTTGGGTGCCGCAAGGGTTCGCAAGAATAACCAGATTAGGGAAGTGATGCTCTACCCCTACCACTATCATCTACAAAGTAGAGCAGCAGCAAAAGTCAGTTCCTATTACTTTACTGTGTCGCTGCAAATGCAGTAGTCTACAAATTAAAGTACCGACTGATACTGCTGGGATATTCCCAGGGGGTTCTTGGATGAGCACCTAAGATCAGATACCCCATACAGAGCACTCCGTAGTAATCACAATTAGATTAGGGCACTACACTACAGCATTCCATGGATCATCCGTGCTCCCAGGACCAAATCTCTCCAACAACGTGGCTCTTGAACCTGAAGGAACACCGTCATCGGCAAATCAGAGGCGCTGTCCTGACTCGGCCCCGAGGCCTGTCAGAGGATGATTAGATATTATTAGATAACCATGGTGAAGGCAACGGAATCAACGGTGTCCCCGAGGGTCCGACAGAAAACGAACCGCTGCTAAAGTTTAGTGCCTGAACCAAGGTTAGAGGTTGATGGTTGGACCCAAGTAGCTAGTAGTACGGAGTAGTTGTCTAGGGATTCATCATAGGAATCGGAACTAGACGAAACGGATTTCCCCGAACATTCGCCGATATATACTGTTTGCTTGGTTTCACGCGAGAAAGAAAAGGGTACAAGAACCGATCATCAACAACGTCACTCAATAATAAAGCCGACGGGACTCGGTAAATTCAGCTACATTTTTGGGGAGGTCGTATTCGTATGTTTACCTAACTTTAAGGTTTCTATAGCCTATGCTACCCTGGAGAGTACCTACTACCATAAGGTCCAAGTGACCCAAAATCGTCTGTTATTCGAGTATTGATCGATCGCCGATACGATGACAAGAGCCTTATGAATAAGGTAACTATTTCGGATTAGGAACCTGTAAGCTTCTACGGAGTGAATTCCGCTCTGTAATCCCTACCCGTCCCTCTCAATCTCGGCCACGGCCTGAGCCGAACATAAGCCGGATCCGAGAATCCTCGAGGATTGTCAATTGTCATCCACAGAGAAATAGGCACTCGCTTCAAGCTCGAGAGACAAGAATATTCGGATCCGTATCTCCCGGCGGGATAACACTGAAAGGACTTCGCTGATCGATGATCATACTTGGGGCCGAGGCCCCACTTTCAGTCGCCGAAGTATTTCGGGTGCAAAAGCGAGAGTTAGCCCTATTCGAATAACAATAGTCTTAAGGTACCGAGTTCTCCGTACGGAGTAATAACCACTTCGACCTCGGTGAAGGAGCAGCGGTAAAGCCTCTTCCGTGCTTCAGCTAGCCTTCGAGATTGGACGGTACCGAATCCTCGTACTAGTACTATTAGTTGATCAACTTCTTTCAGCTCTAGCGATATTTGGTGAATGGTGCGGCGGTGGACGCTTCGAAACAGGTTCTAGTCATTTGCTACTTGTGGTGTTAGACTGTCCACACAAAGTTTCCCGCCCAGTTCAGTTATTTCCCGTGAGGGACAGAGGGACAAGAAAGGGACTCCGGGGCAAGAGATTGGCAAGGTCCCAAGGTTGGAAGATCGTTTGGGATCTGCGGTTCTTCTTTTCTTTTCTTTTCTTTTTTTTTTTTTTCCTTTTTTCCGCCCCAATCCCTTCTCCCGTCTCTCTCCCAGCGCCAGGACTCTCAGGTACCTCACTCTAGCATGAGTCGATCTCGAGAGGGGGGTCATCTCATGGTGACTTCATTGTTAGCAGCACTTCGGAGTTTCCCTGCAAGAGAGCCAGACCTCCCTAAGTCCCGCGGACAATTGCCTAACTGTAGCTACTCCGTAGGCTACCTACCTCTTTGTTTACAAGTAACTATACCAAGGTTGATGTGTCAGCCACTGTATCACCTTCTAACTATCAAGGCCTCCTGCACCTGGTGAGCAACGTCATACTTGGTCCTTCCCCTTCTTTGGCTATTGACTTGGATCTCTGAGCAGGGAAAAGAATTTTTGATGGTCGCGCTTTGCTGTCAAAGTGTCAACGTCGATGATTCTTCCCGTCCAAAGATAGACTGAGGCTTAGTCAATAAGGTAACAGTGCAGAGTTGCTTTCGCTCCTTCCATCGTGCCACTTCGGACGATTGTCAGCAAATCATTGTCGAAGCCATCCGTCTTTGAAAGGGGACGGGTTCGACCTGGAGGCCCCGGTCAGTGGGGTGATCCACCCTAGCCCTTTCTGTCCAATAGGAAACATTAGACCTTGCATAGTCGAAAACCCATGCAAGGTTTGCTATGTTTAGCAGCTGGTTAGATCGGCCGCTACATCCGCGTTTTTCCCGATTTGGTCCCTACACTTCCTCCATCTGGTCAAGTGAGGTCATTACGTGCCCTAGCACAGGAGTATGACCATTGAGCTGCGGTGACAGCTATCTATGATGTAGAGAGCTACAGCGACAGCGGTGAATATTGCAGTCACTCAGAGTTAGTAGTAGTAAACACTTCAAGTCTCTTTAACCGGGCCACCTTGCGTGCTATGATCGCACAAGCCTGTCCCTGTATGCATTTGTCCCAAAATGACTGCTAGTAGACAGCTGCTTTCCACGCACAGGATGCAGGGAGCCAACTGACGAGAAGGAAGAAACTGGCTACCTTTGCATGTGCAGAACAACCCAAATATGAGCCATGTGAGTCAT